TTATTGTAATCAATAAATATTTTTGGGGTCTTTTAAAATAATAATAATAATTTAGATGTTAAATTGCTAAATTATTATTTATGTTTAATAATTGTTGTGCAAATGTCATTTATGTGAGTGTTTTAGATTCATTTGAATATAGGGATTGGTCGAGAAGCATGTGTTATGGCGAGGAGATTTGTGTTATATTGGAGATATTGGACTTGTTATCTATATCAAATAGGCGACTCTTTATTTGCAGGAATAAACATATAAAAATATTATTCATAAAAATATTATTTATTGTTACTCTTTTATATTTTTGGCATGAATGTACTCGCCATTACCTTATGATGAGCATTTTGATGTGCAGTAGTGTATAGCTCAGTCTTGCTTTGTTGCTGCATTGGTTCCTTTATATTCAATTAACTCGTGTAGTTCACACTTTATTATTCACATGATACTTATGATTATATGTATATCGGTGTGTGTGTATGTGGGCGCGCGCGTGCAGACATGTAAACAAATATTAAAAAAATTAACTTATGGATAGACATTTATGGAAGTTACATATGATATGCGTGTGAGTGTATATTCTTACATGCGGGCATGTTGATCATTTTATTAGCAAATTTTTTTTTTAATAAACTTTGTTGTGTATTGAACATCATATCTTTTGTACAATGTTTAGAATTGTCAAATCAAAGTAATTACTTTTACTTATGTCTCTTTTTTTAATCCTATGTATGCTCCTTGGCTTGTCATTTGAACTTTGTTCAGTGGGATTTAAACTAGTGAGTTGTTTCTAACACACTCACACCTTAAATTTAAAGAATTTTAGGTTGCTAACTATTCATTTGGTAAATGAGCTTTTTATACTCTGCTTTAACTATAGCATTAGAGATGATTAAGATTAAAATTGTTTATTTGATTTAATGTTATAATTATTGTGTGTCATAAAATTCACGACAATAGATTGATAATTTAATGTCTTAATGTCCCACGAAGATTTATCACACACTCTTATAATAGAAAAATAACAGAAGAAGATACCAAGGTTTTTTATGTGGGAAAAACTAGCTTAAGCTAGTCAAAGTTCAAAGTAATTCATTATAAATGTACAAGTACAAGGGTACAACATTTTCTCAAAACAAGAAGAGCATGATCACTATTTTACACTAGATACAACACTTGTCGATATTCCATATAAAGAAAAATGCAGGTGTTAAAAACAAGCTTTGTATTATATCTATGAAAGTTGTAAGCAGTGGTCACTGATGGCCAGTGGTTGATGACTACGAAGGACGGAAGTTATCGTCGGGTCTTTAATATGGATGTATAGATACAAAATAAAGCTAAGACCTCGCTAGACCAAAGCAAGTGATCTTCAGCGGCAAAAATAGAGACACATCCAAGCTAACCACTACAATAAAGTTAATTGAAGGCAACAAAGTACTTTCCTTTAGATCCGACCCGAGAAAGGACTCAATTCATTGGTACCACCAGCCATCCCAACAAAACCCTTAAGGCTCCTCATCGGATATCATGGATTGATAATATAACAAAGTCTCGTAGTCATCACATAGCTCTACTTATCAAAGAACAAGTTGTTTATTGGGTTACGATGATTCATCCTATACTGAATAGTCTAGTCTCGCTCTGCTCCGTTGTCAAGAGCTCCTCATCTAAAGGTCAACAACTAGACTAGATTAATCAAACGATAAAGCCTAACCAATCATATAAGTCGTGTCAACTCGAAGGCAATTGAGATCAACGGGCTAAGAACACCGACTCAACCTATCTGGCCGGACTGGCTTTATTGAGTCAAGGCCTAAAAAACTTAGCCAAGTGCAACAAAGCATTAGACTCATATATGAAACAAATCCAGAATTTCCTATACAACCATCATTAAAAGCATGGGAAAAAATGTAATATTACTATATTGTCTCATCTCCCCTATAAATAGGGAAATCATTTTAGAGGATAGACAAGATGTATTTTTGTTTATTACTGTTCATTTCTCTCTCTCTCTCTCTCTGTCTCTCCCTCTCTTATTTCTTACGTTCAATTCATTGGGATTTGAATCACGTACAAATCAGGATTCAACAAGTGTTCTTTTTTCTATATAATATTGATTAATAATTACTATATCATAAAAAAAAAATTTAAATCATATAACCATATAAATCACATAATCATTCTCTTTTATATTAATATTAAGGCCTCTGCCATCAAAGTATTTTGTTAATTATTCTGCCTTTTTTTCGTCAATGATTTCATCTTTAATCAATAAAATTGAGCATTCCCCTTTAATCAATTATAAAATATTTAAATGTAAAGCTTTTTGGAAGTCCATATAAAAGTTTAAGAAAACAATAACATATTTTTTTATCAGCCCCCTAAATAATGTTAGACTATTAAAGTGAGATAATATTGAACCCAATATATTTTATTTAATAGAATATATTATTTCTCTATAGTTTTGAAATTAAATATTAGCATAAGGTGAGGCTTTGGATGTAGTCATAAGTTAAATAATTTGGAAACTATGTTAATTTATAAATATCATACGATTGGCCCTCTTCCTCTTCTATAAGCTTAATTGTTTAGGCTAATAATAAATTTGAATCCATTAGATGTGAGTTCCTGACATAGTTCCTCGATTACAAGGGTCTTAGGGGGTTTAAACATTCTGATTTGCCCCTCGCCCAATCAATGTTCCCTGCTTCCTAATAAAACCTGATTAGTCTGCTTGCTTCCATGCTCCATCACTTCAACAGTTCTGCCACCTGAGCGTTACCCTAAACAACCAAGAAAAGGAGGAAACCTGCTCTGAAAAAGAATCAAAGCAACACCGTCCGGAAGCAGAAACCATAGCTCGCGACAGAAACATTGCATACAAAAATAAGAATAGCCGAATATGAGGTCAGAGAGTGAAGGACGTGGACTTACGAGGAGATAGAAATCTCTGTTGTTTAGAGAGTGAAGGCCGAAAATCAAGGAGGCGGTCACCTGAGCTAGGTACTGCGACGATGGTTTTAGAATTTTAGAACAATGTCCGCTCTGTCTCTCGCTTGGATAGGAGCCCAATTGTAGGTTGGATTGATTCGTGAGGTTCCACCTTTTATAAAAGATTTTCTAGAGGCTTAGAGCTTGATGGCGTTTGTAATGGAGGAGAGCAGGGCAGAGAGTCGATCGTGGCGGAAGAGGATTCAACGGCCAGTTTGCAGGAGCAAATACAACGCCGCTTTTGATATGTTGAGAAAGATTTTCTAGAGGCTTAGAGCTTGATGGCGTTTGTAATGGAGGAGAGCAGATCAGAGAGTCGATCGTGGCTGAAGAGGATTCAACGGCTAGTTTGCAGGAGCAAATACAATGCCGCTTTTGATATGTTGACAATTGTAACATTTTTTTTGGTTGGGATATGCACGAATGAAAAATTGACACTATTTTTTTGGTTCTAGATTCATGTTGTTGAATCTTAATCTGTCATTGAGGTAAAATAAGTTTCGAGAGTTGGAACCGGAAGAAAAAGAGTTGAAAAGAGAGAGATAGTAGAGCCGACAGAATTCTTAAGAGAAGAGTAAGAGGGAGAAGTCTTTTTATTCATTTTTGGACCTCTTATTTATAAGGGGCTTATTTGTACACTAACAAGAAAGGAGGAGCAATTATAGAAACCGTCTTTAATATAGTTTATGTGCTAATTTAATACAGGATTTGCGTTACCATTTAAGTGTAGTTTAACAGTTATTAGTGGATCGTTGCATTTTATTTCGGTTGACTAGGGCGACCGATTACATGGCAATTGATTGAGCTTCTGGTTGATCCTTTACCTAAGTGAAGACTCCTGGATAAATGTTTGACAATCTGATTCTCCTTCCTTTTGACGTGCTCGATCCTGAAACTGACAAACCTCAAGATTTCTGCCTTTGCCTTGTCGAGGTACTTCGCCATCATTTGAGCCCTCGCTTTGTTTTC